GCAAGTCATCTGCATTGGAGTAGAACTTGCCAGAATTATCGGGAAATGGAAATGAGCAAACTGTTTGCTGTGTATTAACTGTTGGCGGACAAGTGCATTTTTCCTTGGGATGAGGGTACATTTTAAACGTGGCATTAAATTTGTTGCGCACGGAACTGGAGATTCTACCAGTGTGTACCAGTAATGCATTGCTTGAGGTGTAAAATACCAAAGCAATACTAAAAGACGATCCTATACCAATATTATTTGCAAGAGTTCCAACCCTCGTGCCACCGTCATGTATGCGTGTTTCAGCATCGTGAAGTGCTATTTCATGAATTGTAAACCTGACTCGCCAACCGAGTGGAGCCAGAATAATCCTTGTACAGTCGGTACCTTGGCTGAGAACCAGAGAACCATTTCTCGCCGTTATCACATCACCTACATCGCAGAGCCCAAAAATAGGACCATATGCTAGACCATTCTGAAATACTCCACAGCAACAGAGAAAAATAGCACCCGCAAAAAAACTTGATTTAAACGCGTCCATGGCGAATTTATACAAACAACGATATTATTAATGCCAACGAATGTAAATAAAATATCTTTAACTTCAAGATTCAGCAAGATATCAAGGTTCCCTCTTCAGCTAATACACTCGAAATTTCACACTAACAAGTAGTGATATTAAAAGTGGCATTAATCTTTATACTCCAGAACTGAATAAGCTATTTTAATCTTATCTTTATGCTCGCTGAAACTGAAAGCGTTATTGACTTTATGACAATGAGTCGCTCGCAGCTGTGAGCTGTGCAACTGCATTCAATGCTTGATGTGTCGTCATGCGCGTAACCGGAATCCCAAATGAGGTAAATCGTTACTAAAATGTTACAATTCTAGCTATCAAGAGTACCATGTTTTAGAATTTAACTTAATTCCTGCGTCAGGTTTTTTTGAATTCAAAAAGAATAGCACAGGAAAACTGAAAAAGCCTTAAAATTGATTGAGGTGTTACCTAATACGCGGCTGTACATCCGTATATTGTTTGCCTGTCACTAAAATTTTGACATCCAACTTGTATATTCAGGATAATCGAATACAGATAAAAATCTACGTTTATTGTGTAATGGGCCGAAAATGGCCCTTGTTCTTGACCTTTTTGAGCTCGAGAGCGGAAGTATTTCCTTCTCAATCAAGAAAGAGGCTTTTTTCAGTTTTTTGAACGTTCTTATGAACATCAGAATGTAAAAAAGCATTGTTATATTAAGATTATGCATGCTTGAACGTGAGTCGTGATGTTGACACTTGACATCATATGATCATACACAATCGAAGGGATTCCAGGAAAGAATGTCTATGTTTCCACCCACGGATACGTTATCACGTTAAATTTAATTTCCAAGTTTTTATCACATTTAGCGCATTAACAAAAACCTGACCTAATGCGCTAATGGTAATAAAAATTTGGAAATTAAAATTAAAATGCAAAGTAATCAAAGATGTCTTTGAAACATTCCGAAGAGACTTAAACAATACACGGAAGTACTTAAGTACTTCAAAATTGGAAAAAAAACTCTTACCCGTAGTCGCGGACTGCGGAGTCCGCATGACGGAACCGGAACATGAGTATTAAACACGACAAAAAGAAACAAGCAACAGGATGTTCTCTCTAAATCGGTTTTTGATATTTTTGTACGGTTCAGTGTACCTTGTTTTTTACATATTCGTAACCCTTTCTAAAAATTTACAAGGCAGTTTCGTTAAGCATGGTTCTCATACGTGACTGACGGTCGTTGACATAGTATGAAGAAATATATCTATATATATATACATAATCGCCTAATGATCGATCATTAAAGATCGTGAAACTCTGAGTAGCGAGCAATCATTGTAATCAGTTTAAGATTTTAAATAATATTTATTTTAATTTATTATAATAATTTATTTCAACAATTTTGTAGAGCATTTAATTTAATCTTTTCATTACAATTTTTTATTAAATCTGTTTTATTCAATTCCTCAAAACCATGGATAAAACGAAACAGTCACTCAACATTCGATGTGACCATGGGAAGCTTTGATGGTGCAGAAATTTGTGAACTTGTTGGTCTATACGCACTAAACAATCTTAGCGAAAGATTCGGAAGCAATAACATCGGTTTGTATAGAGATGACGGTCTGGCTCTGATAAAAGGTTCTAGGGAGTCTACGACTAGCAGATAAAGCAAGAAAAGATTTGTGTTCTGCATTTCAAGAATTCGGGCTAAAGATCACAGCCGAAGTAAACCAGAAAGTGTTAATTTCCTTGATGTTACACTCAACCTCACTAAAACCAAAACCCGAAAACCAAATAACGATCCACTCTACATCCATAAAGAATCAAACCATCCACCATCAATCATGAAACAACTTCCAGCGGCCATCAACCGCAGAATCGCATCACTATCATCTGACAAACAAGTCTTTGATTCTGTTGCACCCTTTAACAACGATTCCCTGAAGCAAAGTAATTACACCTCCAAACTACATTTTTCAACCCAAGAAAGCAAACCTTCAACCGAAAGGCAGAAAAGTCATTTGGTTCAACCCGCCGTATAGTAAGACCGTACAAACCAATGTCGCTCGGGAGTTCTTGAAGTTGATTGACAAACATTTCCCAAATCGTCACCCCTCCATAAGATCTTAAACAGAAACACCGTCAAAGTTAGCTATATAGCTGTATGAACAACATTAAAAGCGTCATATCAAAACACAATAAGCGCGTGTTGAAACAAAATCATTCCCAACAACCCGACAATGCTAACAAAAATAAATGAACGAGTGCCCAATTAGTGCCCAAATATTTACGTAATGGTTAGCTATTAGCGATCTCGCAGAAAATAGCGCGCTTAGATATAAAGAGGATTCACAAAAGAAGTTAGATCGTCAGAGGACTCAGAAATACTAGTGGAAAAGAGAAGGCAATTATTATATTTTCGGTGATATATACAGGGTGTCCCAAAAAAAACGAAAACTATTGAAATCACTCATTGTTAAAATTTGAATGCCGTGTTCACGAATTTCAGCCCGTGGGGATTTAATGCAGCTAATAAAATGCTAAATGCTTTTTGCTGCTAGAGAAAGGGGACATGTCAAAGGACATGGTCCTTGAGATGCACATTTAATAATATTATCCATATTTGTAAATTGTAAATATTGTTAATAAATATCATTTTTGCGAACAAGCAAATTTGACTGCATCATAATGCATGCATAAAAATGCTTATGGCAACCCTGATTTATACACTTGTGGGCCCAACAGAGTGCTTAGGCATTCAAACTCTAACAATGGCATTGTTATGGGTGATTTCAATATTTTTCGTTTTTTTTGGGACACCCTGTAGATGTGAGCAAATGTGTCCCACATGGTTGAAAAGAGTGTGCCTTTTCATGCAGTAAAAGTTGAAATTTGCATGAGTATGTTCCGAGATGAGTTAAATGTCAACGAGTATGGCGAACGTACAGTACTACAGTTCATCACAGCATTGACACTTGCATATATCTTGATGCCTTTTTTGATGTGATCTCTGAAATGAATGAAAGAAATGAGAAAAAACAGGGATGAGAGACGAGATACTAAAGAATAAAGTAAATATTTTTATTATCAAGTTGAAACAGTAAAACGAAACGTTTGAAAAACTGAGTCAAGGACTGAGAAATCCCACCTTAAATTCCCTATAACAGTACATAAACACTATACATTAAACATCAGATATATTATTATACACACTCTCTTTAAAACTTCAACACTGATACATCTGATAAGTATTGATAATCAAGTCTATTTAACATCAAAGCGATCTTTTCTGTTTCATTACCGAGCAAGTACTTTAAATAATCAACGAATGAATTAACTGCGTGATGTAAGGAATTACAAGAACTTATAATGTATTTACTATATTAGATCAGTGATATCAGGATTCACTGTTTGTTTCATCACTATAGACTCTTCGGCACCAAACGATCGAGTTATCTTACGTCTTTTAATTTGCCAAACTAACAATGGCGAGTATAAACACGGCTGAGATACCAAGAACAAGACCAACAATCAAATCAGTTTTACTATCCTTCTGATCACCATCACCAACATCATGACTAGATGTACCTTTGAAATAATTACATAATTATAAGGTTAAAATTGACATCGAGGGATGGACGAAATTGCTAATACTTGCAATAGCCTTTCTATCACTGGGTTTAAAACTAAATTAAACAACTAATTTAGAACATTGACGTAAATATAATATAAGTACATTATCTTGAAGCATGGGGTTTGTGAGATATTTTATTCCATTTTTTCACTTTCTTTCTTTTTTCCCCCTAAATTGTGTAATAGTTTTAATAGAGTGTTTAGTTTTAAGTCATTTGTAATCAATTATTTGTACATAGCTTAAATACCAACGGCCTGTTGAAAATCAGCCTAGACTGAAGAGCTACCGTTGTTAAAGAAATTCTAATGATAATAATAAATATTTTTCGGGGATTTTTCGTCAGTTTTATGCTTCTTCGTACCTGTTGAGTTGAGTTGATTTGTAGGGCGAGAACAACTTCGTTTCCAGGGCCTTTTACCTTTATTCTGGGTTGGGTTAAAAGGCACAAACGTTGGTAACATTCCAACATTTGGTATAGGGCAACCATAAAACTCACAACGAAAACTCTAATAACGACATTCGTGTTCTTTTTTAACTCTCAAATATCTTGTTCTCACTGGATTCTTTAGGTCATTTCGCACAGCCGTATTCACATCAGAGTTTGCTAAAAATGTCTAAAAATATTCAGCTAAAGTTAAAAATAGGCTCGCATGTGTACACGAGTTTGCTAAATACTTGCTTATTTGCACATGCGCAGACATTATCTTGACTTTCACACGTTTAACAAAACAAATCCCGAATTTCTGTATACGATGTATTTTAGCATCTAAACAACATTTCTATACGCCACAAACGTAGCAAAAATTATTATAGGGTTTAAGTATTAGAGTCTCACCATAGCATAATTATCTGTATATCTTCTTTATATTCTACCCATATCCTGCTGTCAACGCTATAGTCAAACAGATAGGATTGTAGCCAGCTTTCTCCACCATATGAAGACCCTTGCGTGGCAATGCCTGTTAGCTGAACAACTTCCCCGAAATCAACCTGTAGATATGCATCTTCAATACGATTAACTCGCGGAGTCCAACCAGGTCCATTATGGTTTAAACGAGCATTTGTAAATGGATGATAATTATCTGGTTTGCTGAACTAAGGGCGCTGTCAGGAATGCGATGGTTTTCCATCCCAAGAGGTGTGTCACATGTATAATTAACAATGTCTAATGATGAGTTGTCTACTGTAAGGTTACCAATTTCACCATCAGCTGCAGCCTTCGTCAGGGTGTCTATCGGGGTAGTGAAGACTGTGCCAGCCACATAATTTATTTTTAGATTACTAACAACACTTCATCGAGAAAATTTTTCCACTTTGACTGTACGAAACGTTGCATCACTCTTTAGAACTCCACGTACTGCACTCTCAATCTGACGGGCTTGTTCCATAAAGTCTTTGCTCTCGGGATTATTGAGATTGCCGTTCCAAATTAGGTTGGTGAATCTCATTGATATATCCCATCTTGTCTGCATTTACGCTATCAACAACATCCTGGCATAGTTTTCCTGTGAGATACTTTGTCACGAAAAACTTTAAATGCTTTAAAATTTTTATTATTCAACATCAAGGTCAACTAATGCATACTAAAATATGCAGAAAACGAAGTTCCTTCGATTTATTCACTGAGTTTTTTCAAAGGTAACATGTACAGGACAAATATAGCTCAGTGGGACAACCTCGTACCCAGGGTCTTCTGTGTTAACGGGGCGCGAACACAGAAGACCCTGGGTATGAGGTTGGTACAAGGATTTTAGACTTTTACGTGCGTGTACGTGCCTATGAAAAACGCGTGAGTAGAAAACAGCCTTAGGGTGGATTTCCACTTACGCGTTTTTCATACGCACGTATACGGACGTAAAAGTCTAAATTCTTATATATGTTACCTTTGAAAAAACTAAGTGAATAAATCGAAGGAACTTAGTTTTCTGCATATTTTAGTATGCATTAGTTGGCCTAGATGTTAAATAATAAAAATTTAAAAGCATTTAAAATTTTCCGTACACGTATCAAAAACACGTGAGTGGAAAACAGCCTTCAGTGAAGCAATTATCAGCGACAATAATCCCAACTTGGCGTGGACTCAATAACGCAATACTTATATTGTTCTAAAATTCATATTGCTCTTAAGCACAATAGATTTTAGGTCTCTGGGACCGGGGTTACAATGGTTTGTCAGCCTTGTCTTTTGTATTGAAAAACACTGGATAACATGAATATTAAGGCCCTTATATTTGATAAGCAGTTATGAAGTTTCTGGTTTGCACGACTGTAACTTTTGGAGTTAGGGTAAAACCCTACGGTAAAACCCTAGTTAATTTTATACCATTACCCAATTGGGTAAAACGCGGATATGCCTTTTAAACGCCCGAAAATCATATTTCAAACTATATCCGCGTTTTACCCGATTGGGTAAAACGCGAATATGACGTTTAAAATTTGTTTTATTGAAAAGTAAGTTATCCGTCCGTCCGTCGCTATCTGTCCGTCCGTCCGTATCCGCGTTTTACCCTAACCCATAACTTTTGGCGCCGGTCAGTTGGCATCGATCAAGGAACGGCGCCATTTTCTGGCGTTCTAACATTTGACAGGTTGTAAAAAATGAATAATCTTAATATCTCGTTGCTGTCACTACACTCACTGCCCACTCATAGATACACAAACACAGTGGAATTAATCTGCAAATTTTAATTATCAAAAGCATGAAATATTGCGCTTCAACAAGAATATGTCAATTTTATGGTCGAGGGTTCTTTAACTTCTTTTTTATAAACATCATAGACATAAAGACCGGTAGTAGACACAAGGAAGTGCGTTTTTTAATGGACGACCTGCGCTAAAAACTAATTCCTGATCGAAGTAATTAGAAGGAAATAAATCATCACAGCTAGAAAGATCTTACTTAAAATAGTGCATATGCAAAGTTTGCCTGCGAAATTTTAGAAAATACGGAAAATATAGCCATGCGAAGTTGGCAAATTTTGTATACTTTTGTATTACGTGCAGAAATGTGTAACTAATTTAGTTACAAACTTCCGGCTGTGATACAACACAAAATTCGAAAACTTCGCTGATGGCTATATTTTCCGTACTTTACAACAATTCGCAGCCAAAAGTGATAGTTTTACTAATTTTAGTAAGCTCTTTCAGAAAATATCCTTTTTATCGCCGAAGTAAGAAATTAGTCTAAAGCGCAAGTCGTCCATTATGTTGGGATACAAACATTCAATACAAACGCAGCAACCGCTATTTCGGCTGACAAATAATTACAAAACAGTCCTAAAAGAAAAAATATTCGGATCGAAACTATGATTGCATGTACAAATAAAATATTGTTCGCGATGTTAGAAAAGTCCAATTAATAGAAGAGTCAAGTTGCCAGGTTTTGTTTTGCAGCAATCAGCCGTTTACTATTGCTACCCAAGATGGCTGCCTGCTTCAGTGATACCATAGACAATCCAGAAGACATGTCTTCTGGATTGTCTATGGTGATAGTGATACGTCATATTGCGAGGGCTTTGTAAGGATATTTCGTTTCGAAACATTTACGCAGAAATGTGTGATCTTTTGAAGCTACGTCACAGCTTAAGTGCTATTAGTATTTGAGCGTTTTAACAAAGGCTCTAAATGTTTGTACCTTTCCTCAGCAAGTCTGGAGATATCTGTCGACAAACTTTCCAAAGAACTATAGTCAGCCCTTTCGAAACTGAATAAATCTTTAATAAACCCCATTAACTCAATCTATACAAAGAAAATGTTGAATGAAATGTTTCCCTTAAGTAGTTCCCAATAAGTATTCCTCCGTTCAATCAAGCCATTTATATGATTTTAAAACTATCGTATGGGATACGTCAGCACAAAGGTTTACACAATGGGTTTACATGCACTGGTAATTCAAATGTGGCACATTTATGCTTGCTCTATATTGAAAATATTTATCTTTGCATCTTAAGGCCATGTTACACGGTGCAATTTTTCTTGCAACTTGCAATGCAATCCTACGTTCAAGAGATGTAAATTAGTACAGAGTGCTCAAAACTTTAAGTGTAAGAAACGTACATGGAGTGTGATAAACGTAAAAGTTTCGTAGTTGCCAAATTTACATCTCTCAAAAGTAGAATTGCAAGTACATTGCAAGTCGCAAGAAAATTGCACGGTGTAACACGGCCTTCAGCATTAAAAACTCGTAGTTGCCATTAGCTGCACGACAGTGTCCCAGTGAAACACGCTTCAGCGGATATATTCTTGATAGCATTAAGCTTCTTTTACATCGGTTTTTATTCTTACCTTGAAAATAGAACAAGCGTTTTTTAACGCTTTGTCTGATCCCAAAAATCCCCAGGCTAGCACTGGAGTGAGGATTTCAGAAAGATGAAAAATGCATCAAAAATCCTGCTGGTTCGTCTAACATCTGCATTTTTGCTTTCAATACTCCCCAAACTGCTGTTTCTAAACCCTACAAGTGGAGCACAATCAAATTGTTACTGAAAGTATGTGAGAATTAGAGGCCTGTGTACGGCACTTGAGAATTGTAGCCTTATCGAGGTAATAATTCATGTCGAGAATCCACGAAAATAATCTATTATAATCCTTTAGAGTTAGTAGTTGGATAAGATTAGTAGTTGGATAAGATTAGTAGTTGGGTAAGATTAATAGTTGAGTAAGATTAGTAGCTGGGTCAGAGGATTATATTCGAGGGTGTCTCACCGTTTATTGACACAATGTCTCACCGTTTGTTGAATATAAGTAGGTAGCCACGAGTTTTGAACTGCAGCCTTAATGGAGTAAGGCGGATTTTCAAGATCAACAAATGCGTCCATTACCACGAAATCCAGAACTAGATCATAGAATGTGATGAAAGGTACCTAAAAAGGCGTTAATTTTCACACAGATAATGCATATATCATGGAGGAGAGTAGCCTACGAGTAGCAGGCTCGAGTGGGGGGCGGGTTAGGGTCAAGGGCGGGCGGGGTTAGGGTCAAGGGCGGGTGGGGTTAGGGTCAAGGGCGGGCGACGGAGGGGAGGAAGGAAGATAATATATTATCATGTTAATTAAGTGGGCGTATATGAAAAACCTTGATTTTACTGCAGGCTCTTCCTCCCTCCGCCGCCCGCTCTTAACCCCTTAACTCCCCCCTCAAGCCTGCCTCGCAGGCTAGGTGGAGAGTAAAAGTTGAAACCTCAGACATTCGTTATTGTCTCGGATGTCGTGTGTTAAGTTTGTTTTGTGCAGACAAAATAAAAAGAAGCTACCCCACTTCGACGACCACGTTAAATGCTAGAAATCTTTCAATCAAAAATCAAGACGTAATTAATCCGGGGTCACAGTGTTACAAGTATCCCGTGTTTTGTGTGCCCCTGTACCCGTATCACTAGGGATATGAGTACAACGAGTAGGGGCACCTAAAACACTAGGATTGCAAATACGAGCAAAAATGTAATCAAAATTTTGATATTAAAAATACGTTTTGATAAAATGAAATGTTGTTTAAAAAGAAAACTAAAAAGTATATGTGGAATAAATCCTCGCAAAGAGAAGCATGCTTCAGCCACCCAAGTTGAGCTGCAAGTCGCGTGGACATTTGGCAGCTGTCTTCTGAATTTTTAACAACTCCCATAAGCAAACCGGATTAATTAGAATTAATAAAGGACCAGGTAGGCGCAATATGAGCAAGGTAATTAAAATAATTGAGCAAAGACCACATACTCCTCTTTTACTTAATTCTCTTTCAAAGATTTTGAAGTTTTCTGGTTTCTTACAAAAACCAAGCAAAGCTTTCCATCTTTTTTCGCATTCGTTATGATCCTGAAATCACGTGAAAACAGCATGTCAATTCATTTTCCTATCAAGTTTCATCACGTTTTTCAGTTTCATTGATATGTACCTTTCCTGCAGTTGTAATTAAAAACCGAAGCAATTCTGTACCATTTTGTTCAAATTTAAGTTGGACATCTTTCTTGGCAAAAGCCATCTACAATTAGATGTAACAGATAATTAACCTGTTGTCTGGAAAACCAGTGACAGTGGTGTGGACAGGAATATTTTTTGAGAAGGCAAATGCCAAGGAATGTTCAGAAGAAATTGATTCTCTCTAATTTTGACACAGTCTAATTTTGACAAAACTTTGAAATTTCTAACTTTCCCCTTCTAATTAGATTTGAAAAATATAAAATCTAATTGAGAAATTATAAGAGGGGCTGCTATCCCAATCGCCAGTGCCAATGGGCAGTGATTTTTACAAAAAAATGGTGAATCTATCAGTGAATATTTTTGTTAACTTGAATTACCTTGAATTTGGGGTACAGTATAGCTTGATAGGTTAAAATATATAAACAAAAACTATACTAGTAGATAAACAGACTTTTTCAAGGTTCTACATTAGCTCAAAGATTTTACCTTGGATGCTTCTCTAATGCAGTAGACCTTTGCAAGAAATTCTACATCACTCAGGCATCCAACCATTTTGCCCTAAAAATTTTTTGTTCTCTCAAAATCTTTTGGCCTTATTGCAACTGGTTAAAATCAGCATATATTTTTACTATTAT